CTAACTTAGAATAAACCTCAGATAGGGCAGCACAGTGGCAAAGTAGTTAGCACTTCCACCCAGCAGCACTAGGGTTTGAATCCCAAGGATGGCACTACCTGCCTGGAGTTTGCATGTTCTCCCTGTGCCTGCGTGGGTTTCCTCCGGGTACTCCGGTTTCCTCCCACACTCCAAAGACATGCTGGGGGGGTGAATTGGCTCCTGTCTAAATTGGCCCTAGTATATGTATGCATGAATGTGAGTTAGGGACCTTAGATTGTACGCTCCTCGGGGGCAGGGCCTGATGTGAATCTATAATATGTATGTAAAGCACCCCACCCCTCCCCCTTCTCAGCTGTATACAGTATTTACGGAGATCCAACTGCCGTGGTCTCCGACCCCAAAGACCGCTATGGGGACCATAATGCACCATAGCAGATAGAAGAGAGAGGATGTAAATATGCAACGGAGGGCGCAGCAGTCTGGATTCGGTACAAATACATCTGTGGAGAGTGGGATCGGTTAGGTCAGGGCAAAAAAAGATAAATGCACTTTGTTTAAAGCGCACTTGTACTTTAAGTGCTTGATAGCTGTGTGTGTGTGGGGGGGGGGAGGGGACGACACGCTGGGGGGGCCGCCTTCCTTTGGCGCTCTATGGATGTGCTTGTTTTGATTAAGTGGTTAATCCAACTCTGGTCTTAATCCCAAATCTGAAAGAAGAACCCGTCTTGCCACCCACATATCGAGGATCTCCTATTCCCAGAGTTGTACAAGTTGGATGATTTCACGGCAACAGAAAGTAGTTGTTCCTGCAGACATTTGGAGAGGAACAAAAAAAAAAAAAAACTGAGGAAATGCTGCGATTAAATGCACTCCAATAAGTACATCTAATCACTCAAATCTCATGAAAGCTTAACCCCTCGCCTACCGGGCATTTTCACCCCCCTTCCTGCCCAGGCCAACTTTCAGGTTTCAGCGCTATCACACACTGAATGACAATTGCGCGGTCATGCAACGCTGTACACTGTACTGAAAGTTTTAGAAATTTTTTGAGACAGAGATTTCTTTTGTTGGTATTTAATCACCACTGGGTTTTTTTTTTCCTTTGCTAAGCAAAAAAAGAAAAAGTTTGGGGGGGGAATTTTTTTTTCTTAGTTTCCGTTCTAAAATTTTGCAAATAAATTTTCTTCTTCACTGATGTGCACTGATTAGGCTGCACTGATGGGCGCCGATTAGGCTGCACTGATGGGCGTCGATTAGGCTGCACTGATGGGCGTCGATTAGGCTGCACTGATGGGCGTCGATTAGGCTGCACTGATGGGCGTCGATTAGGCTGCACAGATGGGCGCAGATTAGGCTGCACTGATTAGACTGCACTGATGGGTGCTGATTAGGCTGCACTGATTAGACTGCACTGATGGGTGCTGATTAGGCTGCACTGATTAGACTGCACTGATGGGTGCTGATTAGGCTGCACAGATGGGCGCTGATTAGGCTGCACTGATTAGACTGCACTGATGGGTGCTGATTAGGCTGCACAGATGGGCGCTGATTAGGCTGCACTGATTAGGCTGCACTGATGGGTGCTGATTAGGCTGCACAGATGGGCGCTGATTAGGCTGCACTGATTAGACTGCACTGATGGGTGCTGATTAGGCTGCACTGATTAGACTGAACTGATGGGTGCGGATTAGGCTGCACTGATTGGTGTTGATTAGTCTGCAACAATTAGGCTGCACTGATGGGTGCTGATTAGGCTGCGCTGATTAGTCTGCAACGGTTAGGCTGCACTGATGGGTGCCGAATAGGCTGCACTGATTAGGCTGCACCGATCATCAGTTCAAATGTTCCCTGTCAAAATTGCTGGGTACTGGCTCTCCATTCCTCAAGCGTGAAGTCTGTTTACAATGTGATCAGCTGGGACTGGACACAGCTGATCACATGCTAAAGGGCCACTGTGATTGGTCCTTCATCGAGAAGTGTGATTAGCTGTGTCTGTCTAGATCGGATATGGAGAATGCAGGGTCCGGGGAGAGCGGATATAGTGAATGCGGGCTCCGGGGAGAGCGGATCAAGTGAATGCGGGGTCCGGGGAGAGCGGATCAAGTGAATGGGGGGTCCGGGGGAGAGCGGATATAGTGAATGGGGGGTCCGGGGAGAGCGGATATAGTGAATGGGGGGTCCGGGGAGAGCGGATATAGTGAATGCGGGGTCCGGGGAGAGCGGATATAGTGAATGCGGGGTCCGGGGAGAGCGGATATAGTGAATGCGGGGTCCGGGGAGAGAGCGGATATAGTGAATGCGGGGTCCGGGGAGAGCGGATATAGTGAATGCGGGGTCCGGGGGGTCCGGAGAGCGGATATAGTGAATGCGGGGTCCGGGGAGAGCGGATATAGTGAATGCGGGGTCCGGGGAGAGCGGATATAGTGAATGCGGGGTCCGGGGAGAGCGGATATAGTGAATGCGGGGTCCGGGGAGAGCGGATATAGTGAATGCGGGGTCCGGGGAGAGCGGGATATAGTGAATGCGGGGTCCGGGGAGAGCGGATATAGTGAATGCGGGGTCCGGGGAGAGCGGATATAGTGAATGCGGGGTCCGGGGAGAGCGGATATAGTGAATGCGGGGTCCGGGGAGAGCGGATATAGTGAATGCGGGGTCCGGGGAGAGCGGATATAGTGAATGCGGGGTCCGGGGAGAGCGGATATAGTGAATGCGGGGGGTCCGGGGAGAGCGGATATAGTGAATGCGGGGTCCGGGGAGAGCGGATATAGTGAATGCGGGGTCCGGGGAGAGCGGATATAGTGAATGCGGGGTCCGGGGAGAGCGGATATAGTGAATGCGGGGTCCGGGGAGAGCGGATATAGTGAATGCGGGGTCCGGGGAGACCGGATATAGTGAATGCGGGGTCCGGGGAGACCGGATATAGTGAATGCGGGGTCCGGGAAGACTGGATCTATTGAATGCAGGGTCCGTGGAGAGCGGATATAGTGAATGCAAGGTTCGGGGAGAGCAGATATAGTGAATGCAGGGTTCGGGGAGAGCAGATATAGTGAATGCCGGGTCTGGGGTTTAGTAAAACTTTAACCTCTTCACGCCGACATTACGCAAATATGCGGCTTCTCGGTGCCTGGGCCTTGACGCCGAGCGGCCACATATTTGCATACCATTTCTAAATAAACGTGCTGAGAGCGCTCCCAGCACGTGTCGGCGTCCCATGGAAAGGTCCCAATCTCTCCTTTGCGATCGGGAGCTTTCCAATCATGTGACTGCCGTGACAGCCAATCACGGTGGTCACATGACCCTAAACCCCTCCTTCCGGCATCAGAAACCCCTCAAAGGGCCGGGGAGGCCCCGGAATGAAGGGGTTAAGGTAAGGTGCTGAAGACTTCAAGCCATCTGAAGTGGAATGTAAATCCTTGTATATGAGGAAATGTATGTCATAGCATGACTGCGTTTCTATCAGAGATGGAGCAATAAGCCCTGGAGGGCCTTGTTCTGTGTGCCGGCCTCCCACTGTGGCCTGCATCAGCAAACCCCAGAGAGTCTTGTTCTTTCTGGCGGCCTCCTGCTGTGGGTCTGCATAGCCTGTACAGCAGGTTATTATAACACACAGCAGGCCGATGTGCAAGGCATAAGAGGGTAGGTGGGAGTCACAAGTGAACCATTACCCCTTTGTCAAGATCCTCTCTCGCAGCATTCCATGGTGACAGTGGATTTCTGGCCGTTATGAAACTACAGGTCCCAGGATTGCTGGAGGTCTTCTGGAATTTGCCAACATCACTCAGCAAAATTTGCAGCCAGAAGGTCGGCCACCAATGAACAATTCCAGCTTGTTCGGAGAACTTTTGACAATAAAACCTGCAAGCCGATTGGTTTCTAAGGAGAGCGGCACCAGGTTTTGCACTCTCCAATTTTAGTAAATGAACCTTTTCGTGTCGTTAAAATTCAGGTTGTGCTGCGGATTCTTTTTCTATGTAATGGTTCCTGATCTCTGATTGCATGTGTGTACGATTTTGCAGGGGGATTCAATAAAACCTTGAAATAAAAATTATTACTTTTTTTTTTCCAACTGTTGCCACATTGAGGGGCCTCCTGTATCTTCCCTCATGTGCGAGGAGCTACGAGATTCCGGTTGACAGTTTCGTAGTAGTTTTACTACTACTTTTTGGTTCTAACTAACCTGGCTGGACCCCTTTTCCTGGTAAACTGTCCAACATTTTACCAAACTCGGTGATTATAAAATCAGGGCTGGACAAATCCCAGGAGCCATATAGACAATGTTCCTTCAGAATTATAGCTGGAGCCTAACTTTTGAGGTCTTCTCCATTTGTCATTGGAGATAGCTACTTAAAAAAAAATCTGTTACATAGTAAAAGGACAAAAATCGATCCAGTTCAACCATTGAAAAAAAGTTATAATCCTACACCCACAGTTGATTCAGAGGAAGGCCAAAAAAAAAAAACAGCAAAGCACGATCCAATTTGCTCCTGCAGGGGAAAAAATTCCTTCCTGATCCCCCGAGAGGCAATCGGATATTCCCTGGATCAACTTTACCTATAAATGTTATATCCAGTTATATTCTGTGTATCCAAGAAAGAATCCAGGACTTTCCTACAGCAATCCACTGAGCTGGCTACAACCAACTCTTAAGGAGGTCTTACAGCTCTTACTGTGAAGAAACCTTTCCGTGTTTGGAGATTTAATTTCTTTTCCTCCAGACATAAAGAGAGCCCCCTGATCCTCCAGATGTAAAGAGAGCCCCCTTGTCCTCAGGGTGAATAACTCTACACCGAGTTTCACTCTATGAACCACTGATGTATTTATACATGTTGACTCCTGCATTGGACAAGACTGGCTTCCAAACTCCATATTAGGTTTTCTTAACCCCTTATAAGTACAATATCGTAACAGGAAGCTTGGATATGCAGAGATTCCTTGAAGTGTGTTGGACTACCTTGGAAATTTTGAAAAATGGAGGCAGTTGTAGGAACATGCTACCCAGAAGGGGGTCAGTGGGAAGAATGTCCCTTACATTGGTGGTCAGTGGGAAGAATGTCCCTTACATTGGTGGTCAGTGGGAAGAATGAAGAAGAATGCCCCTTACATTGGAGGTCAGTGGGAAGAATGTCCCTTACATTGGGGGTCAGTGGGAATAATGCTCCTTACATTGGGGGTCAGTGGGAAGAATGTCCCTTACATTGGGGGTCAGTGGGAAGAATGTCCCTTACATTGGTGGTCAGTGGGAAGAATGTCCCTTATATTGGTGATCAGTGGGAAGAATGTCCCTTACATTGGGGGTCACAAGGAAGAATGTCCCTTACATTGGTGGTCAGTGGGAATATTGCTCCTTACATTGATGGTCAGTGGGAAGAATGTCCCTTACATTGGGGGTCACAAGGAAGAATGTCCCTTACATTGGTGGTCAGTGGGAAGAATGTCCCTTACATTGGTGATCAGTGGGAAGAATGTACCTTACATTGGGGGTCACAAGGAAGAATGTCCCTTACATTGGTGGTCAGTGGGAAGATTGCTCCTTACATTGGTGGTCACTGGGAAGAATGCCCCTTACATTGGTGGTCAGTGGGAAGAATGCCCCTTTATATTGGTGATCAGTTGGAAGAATGTCCCTTACATTGGTGATCAGTTGGAAGAATGTCCCTTACATTGGGGGTCAGTGGGAAGAATGCCCCTTACATTGGTGATCAGTTGGAAGAATGCCCCTTACATTCGGGGGGTCAGTGGGAAGAATGCCCCTTACATTCGGGGGGTCAGTGGGAAGAATGCCCCTTACATTCGGGGGGTCAGTGAAGAATGCCCCTTACATTGGGGGTCAGTGGGAAGAATGCCCCTTACATTGGTGGTCAGTGGGAAGAATGCCCCTTACATTCGGGGGGTCAGTGGGAAGAATGCCCCTTACATTCGGGGGGTCAGTGGGAAGAATGCCCCTTACATTGGGGGTCAGTGGGAAGAATGCCCCATTACCATTGTGGCTAGAATGCTAACCTCTACAGACAACTAAAGAGTTGACTTTCCCTAGCAGCACTGGGCCCAGAACTATGCAGATACCATCAACTGGGAGGTCAATCAGCCACAACTTAAAAGCGGTTGTAAACCTCAAGACATGAAATATGAACAGAGCATATCCTTCTATAGTGTGTACTTGTCACAACCCAGAGCACAAAAGGAGGAGCTTTACTAAAACTGGTGCACACTGGTTACTATGCTCAGCAGTACTAGAATCTATCAGCTTCCAGATTTTACTGTCAAAGCTTAATTGAACAAGCTGAACTTAGAAGCTGATTGGTTACCATGCACAGATGCACCAGATTTTTTTTGTGCTACAAGGAACCCTTTGCAACCTCTGGAGGAACACTGGGATTTCATGGAACCCTGGTTAACTTCCGCCTGGCAGCACTAGGGTTGTTGGTTCGAATCCCAGCCACGACACCACCTGCCTGGAGTTTGCATCTTCTCCCTGTGCCTGCGTGGGTTTCCTCCAGGTACTCCAGTTTCCTCCCACACTCCAAAGACATGCTGGGAGGTGAATTGGCTCCTGTCTAAATTGGCCCTAGTATGTGTATGTATGAATGTGAGTTAGGGACCTTAGATTGTACGCCCCTTGAGGGTTAGGGACCTTAGATTGTACGCCCCTTGAGGGTTAGGGACTGATGTGAATGTACAATATATATGTAAAGTGCTGCGTACATTGATGGCGCTATATAAGTACCTGAAAGTAACAAATTTGGCTTAGGCACACAGGCTGAAAAATATATGCACTATGCATCTCCTGACAAAGGAGATCCACAGATCTGAGGAACATGTCAACCATTGCCCCTACCATACCTGGTCCATGTATTCATTGCTGTCTGTGGCCCCTCTGTCCTGATGACCACAGTCACAGAAAGGGGATGGCAGAAGAAACCTCCCAATGGGGACACCTGCTTCGGTGACACCCTGTGTAAGGAGATATTTCCCCTCCCTTTAGGTTGGAAGCAGAGTACTGTCACCCTGCAAAGCCTAACAGTCCCGGAGATCTGTAACAATATATATCTCCGCTTCATCTCAGACACACAACCTGGAACGCAGACAAGAACAGTCATCCATTATTACTCAATTTTCAAGTTCCCAATCCTGTTTATCTTCTTTCCAGACAAATAATTCAGAGTTCAAATACAAATGAGACCAATCCCTGACACCTCTCATCTCTTCGTGACTCACGCCTTTCACAATCGCCGATCCTACACAAAAAACAGCTGAACAGGAGCTCTCCGTCCAAAATGTGCCAACGTGGTGCTGCGCCAGATCTCCGGAACATCCGCGGCGGGGCTGAAGTACCCCCCCTCGCAATTGGTGCGCACCTCCTCCAATCTCCGAAACGCAACGTTCAATCACACTTGGCCCCCTTCCATTGTACGGAACACAATTTCAGCTTAACCTTTCCTAAAGATGCGTTGAATTATTAATCCCCTCTATTTATTCCAAGGCACCCACTTTACCTTTTGAGAAACGTTTGGCGTCTCGCGTCGTGAATATATAAAAACGTAGAGGCGCGAGGCTTTGAAGTTGGACCTGAATAGAGGGTAACACAAACTTCAAAGTGCACCAACAGATGCATTATACATGAGCCGCGAGCGGAGAATGGACTCCTTTCACAGCTGGCTAAAGAAGGGGCTTGATTAGGCCGGTGTTAAAGTGCACCTGTAGCACTTCACAAACCAAATATTCCACAAAAGATGAGGAAGGCATTCAGATGGTGTTGGGGCCCCATTCAGGCTTGGTCCAATGCGATGCGTTAACATGGACTGGTGCTCTAGAGATTCTGTCTGTGACAGTCCGTGATAGCGCTTCCAGGTATGGGGGAGCGGTCCATCGCTAGGCCCAATTACTGTCACATGTGAGGTAATGACAGTTTTTTCTGGGTTGCCGACCCCACTGATTGCGAAGCAGGTTGCAACGGAGGAAGAACCATAGAGGGAGCGCAGACATTGTTAGTATAAGGGCCTACTTCACAGACACAGCAAGTATAAGGGGGTTGGGGGCTCCTGCACAGACACAGCAAGTATAAGGGGGTTGGGTGCCTCCTGCACAGACACAGCAAGTATAAGGGGGTTGGGGGCTCCTGCACAGACACAGCAAGTATAAGGGGGTTGGGTGCCTCCTGCACAGACACAGCAAGTATAAGGGGGTTGGGGGCTCCTGCACAGACACAGCAAGTATAAGGGGGTTGGGGGCTCCTGCACAGACACAGCAAGTATAAGGGGGTTGGGTGCCTCCTGCACAGACACAGCAAGTATAAGGGGGTTGGGGGCTCCTGCACAGACACAGCAAGTATAAGGTGGTTGGGGGCTCCTGCACAGACACAGCAAGTATAAGGGGGTTGGGGGCTCCTGCACAGACACAGCAAGTATAAGGGGGTTGGGTGCCTCCTGCACAGACACAGCAAGTATAAGGGGGTTGGGGGCCTACTTTACAGACACAGCAAGTATAAGGGGGTTGGGGGCTCCTGCACAGACACAGCAAGTATAAGGGGGTTGGGGGCCTACTTTACAGACACAGCAAGTATAAGGGGGTTGGGGGCTCCTGCACAGACACAGCAAGTATAAGGGGGTTGGGGGGGCCTACTTCACAGACACAGCAAGTATAAGGGGGTTGGGGGCTCCTGCACAGACACAGCAAGTATAAGGGGGTTGGGGGCTCCTGCACAGACACAGCAAGTATAAGGGGGTTGGGGGCTCCTGCACAGACACAGCAAGTATAAGGGGGTTGGGGGCCTACTTTACAGACACAGCAAGTATAAGGGGGTTGGGGGCTCCTCCTGCCCAGACACAGCAAGTATAAGGTGGTTGGGGGGCTCCTTCACAGACACAGCGAGCATAAGGGGGTTGGGGGCCTACTTCACAGACACAGCAAGTATAAGGGGGTTGGGGGCCTACTTCACAGACACAGCAAGTATAAGGGACTTGGGGGGGCTCCTTCACAGACACAGCGAGCATAAGGAAGTTGGGGGCCTCCTGCCCAGACACAGCAAGTACAAGGTGGTTGGGGGTCTCCTGCACAGACACAGCGAGTATAAAGGGTTTGGGGGGCTCCTTCACAGACACAGTGAGTATAAGGGGGTTGGGGGGGGGCTCCTTCACAGACACAGCAAGTACAATGAATTTGGAAGGGCTACTTCACAGACAGCGCGTGTAAGGGGGTTGGGGGGCTCCTCCATAGACACAGCAAGTATAAGGGAGTTGGGGGCCTCCTGCCCAAACACAGCAAGTATAAGGGAGTTGGGGGCCTCCTGCCCAGACACAGCAAGTATAAGGGAGTTGGGGGCCTCCTGCCCAGAAACAGCAAGTATAAGGGAGTTGGGGGCCTCCTGCCCAGAAACAGCAAGTATAAGGGAGTTGGGGGCCTCCTGCCCAGAAACAGCAAGTATAAGGGGGTTGGGGGTCTCTTGCACAGACACAGCAAGTATAAAGGGTTTGGGGGGCTCCTTCACAGACACAAAGTATAAGGGGGTTGGGGGCTCCTTCACAGACACAGCAAGTATAAGGGAGTTGGGTGCCTCCTGCCCAGACACAGCAAGTACAAGGAATTTGGGAGGGTTACTTCACAGACACAGCGCGTGTAAGGGGGTTGGAGGGCTCCTTCACAGACACAGCGAGTATAAGGGGGTTGGGGGCTCCTTCACAGACACAGCAAGTATAAGGGGGTTGGAGGGCTCCTTCACAGACACAGCGAGTATAAGGGGGTTGGGGGCTCCTTCACAGACACAGCAATTATAAGGGGGTTGGGGGCTCCTTCACAGACACAGCAAGTATAAGGGGGATGGGGGGGAGCTCCTTCGCAGACACAGTAAGAATAAAAGGGGTCCTATTTGCAGACAGAGTGAAATTAAGGGGTTGGAGGGGCTCCTTTGCAGACATGGTGAGTATAAGGGGGTCTAGGAGCCTCCTTTGCAGACATGGAGTTTAAGGAGGTCAGGGGGAGCTCCTTTGAATGCATGGTGAGTATAAGAGGTCAAGGGGTCTCCTTCGCTGACACAGCGAGTATAGGGGGTTGGGGTTCTTCATTTGCAGGCACTCTGTCACTTTGACCTGCATTGAAAAAAACGACAGCATCCATCTCCTAATGGCAGCCCATTCACTTCAATTGGACAACAACAAGCCAGGCCTAAAACTGGACATGCAACATTTTTGCCAATGCTAGGTATCTCACTGCATGGTAGGTGGTTACTGTGCATTGTGATGTGCTGCAAATTTGGTGCTGAGGTTCCATTAAAAAAAAAAAAAAGTATGTGCATGGCGATAATGGCTTTAGCATGTCTACTTGGGCCCTTAGAGTATTTTAGAATCTTTACTGACCACCAATGTAAGGGACATTCTTCTCACTGACCACCAATGTAAAGGACATTTTCTCCATGACCACCAATGTAAGGAGCATTCTTCCCACTGACCCCCAATGTTAGGAACATTCTTCCCACTGACCAACAATGTAAGGGACATTCTTCCCACTGACCACCAATGTAAGGGACATTCTTCCCACTGACCACCAATGTAAGGGACATTCTTCCACTGATCACCAATGTAAGGAGCATTCTTCCCACTGACCACCAATGTAAGGGACATTCTTCCACTGATCACCAATGTAAGGGACATTCTTCCCACTGACCACCAATGTAAGGGACATTCTTCCACTGATCACCAATGTAAGGGACATTCTTCCCACTGATCCCCAATGTAAGGGACATTCTTCCCACTGACCCCCAATGTAAGGGACATTCTTCCCACTGACCCCCAATGTAAGGGACATTCTTCCCACTATGATCACCAATGTAAGGGACATTCTTCCCACTGACCCCCAATGTAAGGGACATTCTTCCCACTGACCCCCAATGTAAGGGACATTCTTCCCACTGACCAACAATGTAAGGAACATAATTCCCACTGACCTCCAATGTAAGGGACATTCTTCCCCACTGACCCCCAATGTAAGGGACATTCTTCCCACTGACCACCAATGTAAAGGGCATTTTCTCCATGACCACCAATGTAAGGAGCATTCTTCCCACTGACCTCCAATGTAAGGGACATTCTTCCCACTGACCTCCAATGTAAGGGACATTCTTCCCACTGACCTCCAATGTAAGGGACATTCTTCCCACTGACCCCCAATGTAAGGGACATTATTCCCACTGACCACCAATGTAAGGGACATTATTCCCACTGACCACCACTGTAAGGGGCATTATTCCCACTGGCCACCAATGTAAGGGACATTATTCCCACTGACCGCCAATGTAAGGGACATTATTCCCACTGACCACCAATGTAAGGGACATTCTTCCCACTGACCACCAATGTAAAGGGCATTTTCTCCATGACCACCAATGTAAGGAGCATTCTTCCCACTGACCTCCAATGTAAGGGACATTCTTCCCACTGACCTCCAATGTAAGGGACATTCTTCCCACTGACCTCCAATGTAAGGGACATTCTTCCCACTGACCCCCAATGTAAGGGACATTATTCCCACTGACCACCAATGTAAGGGACATTATTCCCACTGACCACCAATGTAAGGGGCATTATTCCCACTGGCCACCAATGTAAGGGACATTATTCCCACTGACCACCAATGTAAGGGACATTATTCCCACTGACCACCAATGTAAGGGACATTATTCCCACTGAACACCAATGTAAGGGATATTCTTGGCACTGGTCACCAATGTAAGGGGCATTCTTCCCACTGATCACCAATCTAAGGCAAATTGTTCCCACTGACCACCAATGTAAGGGACATTCTTCTCACTGACCACCAATGTAAGGGACAATCTTCACACATCCCTTGTGCGTACCAATCAGGGCACACTTACGCATATTCACAAAGATGTACCTCAAAACCAGAAATCCAATCCCATTACACATATGGCCACTGAAGATTGGTTACTTTATGAAAAGGTTGGGTGCTACCAGGGGCAGACTGACAACTCATGGGGCCCCTGGGCAATAGGGGATCATGGGGCCCGTGTCCAATAGGGGATCATGGGGCCCGTGTCCTCACCCACACTCAAACCACACCCAAAAACCCTATGAAAGGTACTATGGGCATCTCATGGGGCCCCGGGCAGTGTCCTAGTGCCAGGATGGTCAGTCCGCCCCTGGGTGCTACCAACATGTTCTGAAATGTTGCCTAACTAATCCTGCCCCATCTACAAGGTTGTGAAAAACTTTCTGCCCATATCCAGATTGCCACCATTATGGCACACTTTTTTTTTTTTTCCTGTTTCAATATTTTTATTAAGAAAGTTTTGTTTTAAGAATATAACAAGCTCAGAATACGCCCTCTCAGGGGCAGAGCAGAACAATAACACATAAACAGAGACATCCGGCTGACTTGTATTAGTCAAATAACGAAATGTCCAATGACATCAAGAAGGGACGGCAAAAAGCCGAACCAAATAGCAGCAGTAATCCAACATAATATCGGAAAAAGAAGAGGAAAGAAAAAAGGTTTAGAAGAAAGGAAAAAGAAAATAAAACAAAAGGGAATCTGAAAGAAAACATGAAAGAAGGGAAACTAAAAGGATCATGGATCCACGGCTAGCATAGGCAGCGACTATAGGAGGCCATAACTAGTAGGAGGCAGGGATGGCAAGGAATAACGTATCCAAGGTTCCCAAACCTTAAGGAATCTCGGATGAGAATCATGAAGAATGCTAGACATGTGTTCACTGAACAGCATAGCATTCATCCGGGTCTTCATTATGGCACACTTTGAACACTTCTCCTTTATGCTATGGATATGAGGAGAGTGAAGGTGTTTCTGTAGTCCAGGAAGGGGCTGACAACACTGCTTGGAATTTCAGTGCAGCAGAAGCACGGTGTTGTCAACTCGCACAGGAAATTAGGCTCTCAACGGATTTCTGGTATTTTTCTAGCCGACTACCGAATGACGAAATATAGAGACGTGTTCATGTATTGCAGAGATGTGCTGAACGTTTCTTTTATTCTCCAGACATACACTAGGCAACAGGGACCCTCAAGACCCCATTCACTCTCAGATTTCAGTTCCGTGAGCCAAAAATGAACATGCACTGAAAAATCCTTCCTCTCCATGACAGCAGCCGGCGGCTGGCTTCGGATAGGGCGGCCAGGAGAAAGCGCTTCTTCCGATAACACAAACCAATGAGGTCATCCTGGGGCCCGGCCAAAATCCACAGACTCCTTGCTGTATTCTAGTCCCCCCCCCCCCCCCCCCATTTGGCTTCTCCTGAACTTTTAATATAAATTCGGCAGAAACGAGATCCAGTGAAAGGCTCACTCCCTGCCCCTTCAATTCTGAAAATATTTTTTTTTTTTTTGCAGATGAAGGAATTGTCGCTCCTTTAGAGATCGATAAACAAGAGTGCGGAGAACAAACAGAAAACACGGCCAACCCAGCTGACCTCACGGAGGGGCAGGGACGGCTCGCCGAACAATGGGATGTGACATCTATTGATGTGTGTTCCCACACGAGAACATTATGTAAGTCACCAAGAAAGAAAAAGTTGAGATTTGGCAGCGAGTGGCACCAGACTTTCATGGGACGCGCTGTTCTGCAGAAAGAAACGTCACCGCCGGCTATACACAGCGAGCCACGCTAGCCTTTCATAGAAAAAAAATGGCGTTTAGGTGCTTTTGGGTGAACATTTTAGGTCATTATTTCAAAGATGGACTTTTAATTTGCTTACATTTTGCCTTCCCTCCCCCTCATCAACATGTTACTTAGATGTTTAACTAAAAACGGGGTCTCTGTTCTTCTCTATGCAATGGAGGCAGCTTATAGGTTGGTGGGAGGGACCAGAAGGGTGCTGTACATGGCTTCCTGAAAGCATCACAGTACCCTGCCTCAGTCCAGTGGGAAGGCTCTTGGGGTAGGTTATGCAAATATCAAATGCCTTGATTGATGGGTATCAGTCTGCAGGAGTGGGCGTTCCAAGGCAGCATGCCTTTGCATGTAGATGGCTCTAGGTAACACCCACATGTGATGCTGAGCCTCCATGTTTGCAAGAACTGAAAGCCAGTGAATGAAAGGGGCGGGGCCAGGGACAGTCGGGCTGGGGAGGAAAGAGCTAGATGATGCTGGATATACTCCAGCCAGGAAATGAGGTGCAGCTCTGACTTGCTGCAGCTTCTAATGCACATGGTGAGAAGCTTGCAGTGTGCAGTGAAATCAGAGTGAGCCGTTTCGGTCCAGGAGAGGAGTCGGTACAACTGTGCAAGACTGAAGGGAAGGATGGAGTTCACCTTGATCCCTTTTATTAATTTTGGGCAGGCTCATGGGAGGAGGAGTTATGCGAACATCAAAATGCCTTCAAGTATAAAACCCCGGACCCTGCATTCACTATATCCGCTCTCCCAGGACCCCGCATTCACTATATCCGCTCTCCCAGGACCCCGCATTCACTATATCCGCTCTCCCCGGACCCCGCATTCACTATATCCGCTCTCCCCGGACCCCGCATTCACTATATCCCCTCTCCCGGACCCCGCATTCACTATATCTGCTCTCCCCGGACCCCGCATTCACTATATCTGCTCTCCCCGGACCCCGCATTCACTATATCCGCTCTCCAGGACCCCGCATTCACTATATCCGCTCTCCCCGGACCCTGCATTCACTATATATCCGCTCTCCCCGGACCCCGCATTCACTATATCCGCTCTCCCCGGACCCCGCATTCACTATATCCGCTCTCCCCGGACCCCGCATTCACTATATCCGCTCTCCCGGACCCCGCATTCACTATATCCGCTCTGCCCAGACCCTGCATTCACTATATCCGGTCTCCCCGGACCCCGCATTCACTATATCCGGTCTCCCCGGACCCTGCATTCACTATATCCGGTCTCCCAGGACCCCGCATTCACTATATCCGCTCTCCCCGGACCCCGCATTCACTATATCCGCTCTCCCCGGACCCCGCATCCACTATATCCGCTCTCCCCGGACCCTGCATTCACTATATCTGGTCTCCCACAGTACACAGAACATGGAAATGCAATTATTTTAGTAAATATAAACTGCTAAATACCTTTTCTCATCAGCAGTATATAGCAGAGCAGTCTTCTGACTTCTATCAGTGTCCAGAAGCGCACTGGTTAAAGCTTTAGGAGTTTCTGCTCTAGGAGAATGCAGAACCCCTGACCCCTGTCTGGACAGAGCTGATTGGCCCTGTGCTGATCGGCTACAGTTCAGTCTGTCTTATCAGGAGATAATATGTGGACATCTGAACAAGAGGAGGATCAAAGAAGACAGGATCAAACAGCCTTTTTACGCAATGCAGAAGATTAACCCCTTAGGTCCCACAGTGAGTATAACAAGCACGCTGTACTGCATTTACAGACTGATTGTACTGTTGTGGGTTTAGTAACACTTTAAAAGGTGGGTGTCAGTCTGCAGGAGTGAGCATTCCTAGGCAGGGTGCATTTTCATGTAGATGGCTCTAGGTAACACCCACAGGTGATGCTGAGCCATCATGATTGAAGACAGTAAAATCCAATGAATGAAAGGGTTGGGCCAGGGACAGTCAGGTTGGGGAGGCAAGGGGTAGATTACACTGCTCATCCTCCAGACAGGAAACAAGGCGGGCCCTATTTGACTTTCAGACACACACTGTGAGACGCTCACAAATCTACCAGAGTGAGAAGTAACATGCCTCTTGATGACGTCTTGGTGACGAAACGCGTAGGAGCACAGACGCATAGCACTTCGTCACTTCCGCTTGGTGGAACGCGCACGCGCACACACACACCAGCAGCACCACCATCTGTCACCAGTACCCAGCAACCATCTTGAGAAAGGGCAGGTGACTTGTGTAGCAGTTACTTCCTGGAATCCATCTGCCCTTAGCTCAAGCATGACGGCAGGAGGGTGTGCTTAGAAACGTGTATGACCGCGCTCAAAATCTAAAGTGTTAAACTACCTAAAACAAGAGGAGGGTGTGCTGAGCTGAGAAAACCCCTCCTCCCACAAATACTTCTGGAAAGTATGACATCATTGTGGCCTAGGTCAGAAACCAGGAAATAACTGAAGAAATGTAAAAAAAATTAATAAATAAAACGTTTAAAACCACTAAATATAATATGCCTTCCTATCTATTTACTAATACTAGAATTAAAAAAAGCTTGTGTTGATTGAAAGAGTTTTGTTTCCGCTGTAAAGAGTAACTCCACTTTTGTTCACAAAAAAACAAACAAAAAAAAACAATAAACAAACCATAAAAAAAAAAAAATAAAAAATAAAACAACCACACTATGTACATTGCAGGGATTTAACAGATTTTGTTGCAGATCCCTACCTTTTGCTATTCTGAAGAAACAGCTGTTTGTGCCCATGTGCAGAGTGAATCTGTATGAGACTTTCCACATACAGGGCTTTAATAAGGAAAGTTGCAGTGTCTGCATCCCTTTAGATTTCCATTTGGCAGCATCTCACCAAAAATGCTATTTTTGTTGCAGGGGATGCCCAAAATCTGACTTGTATCTTAGTGCAGACTTCTGGGAAAGTCAGCAAGCCAATCACACAAGCAGGAAATGCCATTTCTAGGGGGTGTTCTGTGTACCATCTGTGTACTGAAGGCTTCCAGATTGCAATTTTTTTTTTTTTTTTATTTGCCACTTTTATTCTCAACAAACGTGGGACCCTTTAAAGTCGAACTCCAGTTAAAAGTTGTATTTTCCCATACAGTGGGGCTGTGCCCGCACTGCATGGGTTAACTGCTCATTTTGTCTAGGGAGCTCAGGGTAAAGCTATACTTACCCATTCCTCCAATCCTCTGGAAAACTGTG